GCCGAGGACTTCGTCAAGGAGATTCCCTATCACCTTTGCTATTCAACCTGATGATTGAACCACTGCTCCGTGGACTGCTCCACAATCTTCATGGCTTTCAAGTCCCGCTGACGGAAAAAGTCTCATACCTGGCGTATGCCGATGATATTCTGGTGGTCATCAATGATTTTTGGGAGTTTTCCAAACTCTTAGAGGTTTACAATGATTACGCTGCTGGAAGCAACGCAAAACTCAATGTTAGCAAGACAGAAGGCATATCAATGTATGGATCCAGTGATCCATGGCGGGAACGCTTTCCCACCATCAAATGGTTTGATGAAAAGTCGGACTCATGTCCTATGTACCTGGGATACCCACTGACGACATCTAAGGTGCATATGAAGCAAGCCGTCGAAAATGTGGTGGACAAAATGCAACGACATCTCCAATGGCTTGGCAGCCGCCAACTATCCCTAGGAGGCAAAGCATTAGTTTGGAATACCCTCATTACATCCAAATTATGGCACCTTGCTAGACTCATTCCTCTGTCGTCCCATGTCAAACGCATCCGATCCATGATGCGAAGATTCATTTGGAGTGGACGTATGCCCAAGGTGAAATGGCAAATCATCTGTGTCGAAAAAAGCCGTGGCGGTCTCGGTGTCATTGACGTGGAAGCACAGGCAGCAGCCTTAATGGCCCGTACACTGAACCCCCTGCTACACCGTCAACATTACAACCGATCTTTCGTACATGATATTATCGAAGGTATTATGCGACAACACCTCAAAGTGGATTCCATCGCAATCCTGCTGATGGAAGCGAAAGTATTTATGGGAAAGTTGAAACAATATCCACCTCTCTGGCGTATGGTAGGAAAATTCGCTCTCCTGACATCCTTCCCGGAGGACATCGCGGAATACCACGCGACAGTGTTGAAACACATTCCGGTATCGAGAGTCGTGATCAGAGAAGATGCCCTTGGTCCATTAATGAGAGCAACACCAGCCTCCCACTATCTGAGGTGTCAAGAAGGTGGAGGGTGGATCCTGATCAAATCCATGAGAACGTCGCGAAAGACAGACCCCAAGAACGTCGCCCCTCTTGACGCTACTGCCAACATGTGTGCTATGATCCGGACACCTGACTCTGACAGCCAGTTCAAACTCTCAGCAGATCAATTCCTTCGTGATGCTACCATAGGCGGATGGTCCTTAAATGAAGTTAGACCAAGCAAGATCCGCTGGAGATTCCAGGAGACGACAATGTTACCCCCAACACCTACAGGACTGTGGGAGGAAATTTGGACGGCCCCGATCAGTCCCAAAGCCAAAGAAATTTGGTGGTTAATGCTTCAGCAACGGCTACCCTGTCGTTCCAGGATGCACGAACGATTCGCAAGGCAGGCCATTAGTGACCAGTGCCCAATTTGCGAAAGATCCAAAGAAGACCAGGAACACATGATCTTTGCTTGCCCTTCCAAACGACGCTTGTGGCGATTAGCAGTAACATTCATGAATTTGGGAGGCAAGTGCAAGATCAGAATGTCTGACATTACTTTTGACAGAATCAAGACAGGGTTCCAAGACCAAATATGGACTTCAAATGCAAACATCCAACATCCCATTCGAGTGATCTTTGCGATAACTTTGGAGTGTCTTTGGCGCGCCCACTGGGCAACGGTGTTCAACCCTTCGGATTGCCCGTTCAAGTATGAAACGGTAGCTCACAAAATCCGAGCCAACATCCGCACCAGGGTTCTGGACGACATCCACACCAAAAAGAGCGCACTCTGGCGCTTTGCCGGTATACAAACGGCAAATAAAAGTGGGAGCAACTTCACCCTTCCCTCCCCATACATAAGTATATAAGATATCCCAGACAATCAGTTCTGTTATACTCATTTCAATATCCAATCAGTATCAATATTCAGTCAGTGCCTTTACTCCATCTTTCATCTCCTTAACATGGATTGTAGGAATGCCATGACCGTAACGGCTTGGCATGTCACATCCTCACATTCAGTTTAATAAAGTTCGATTGTTTATAAAAAAAAAAAAAAATAAAAAAAAAAAAGCCGCTTGGTCATATAAAGTCTCGTTTTTTGACAAAATAATAAGCCCAATTCCTTTCTTCCTCTCCACTACTATAGGGGGACTGTGATATGAAAATTAAATTTAAAAACTCAAAACTTGGTGACAAATACATTAGTATTGATGGTGACTTGCTTATACTTACAACAAACAGGAACCAAGCATCAGATTTCACAGTATATACAAAGGAAACTGAACTAATTTCAATTGAGACTATGGATAATAGATACCTAGCAATTGGTCAGCATGGTGTTACTCTCTCAGATAACAAGTGCCTGATAAAACACAATTTCACCCATCAAGAACAAGGTTACTTTTTACAATCTCCAACAACAAATCATTATCTAGTACCTGACGGAAACAATCTCTCAACAACAATTGAATTCAAGATTGCCTGTTACTTTGAAGACTGTTGATATCGTAGTTAAATTGACTTTGATAATAAAATGTAATACAGCGAAGGTATTCGATTATATCGATACGTTTGATGAATACACTTTCTTTCGAAATAATTGCACACTTATGCTAGTTTCTTAGGGAAAGATCCGCTGTTGTTTATTACTCTTTTACTGCACACCTTTATACCATCCGAAGGGACTACGTCAACAAAATCATGATTGGGTAACACTCCCTCAAATGCTAAAAGGTTTAGGTGAGAAAATTACGTTTCCCACCACAGTTGATGTGTGGTTTTTTTTAAAAAAAAAAAAAAACTTTCTTCCTCTCCATCAGTCTTCCCCTTTCATCTCCACTACTATAGTGGGTTGTGATTTATATTGAAAATGAAAATTGAGAATTACAAAGAGATTCAGACACATCTTGGAAGGCTTGCACACATACAAACATGGTATTGCTACAACACAAGACGCATTATGGAGACCAAGACACTCTCAAAACTTAAATTATTGATGCCACAACATGAATATGAATCTTTAGTTGAGCAAATTGAAAGCGAACTAACAGGAATGGTGACAGACATAATGCAAGATTATTATTGGGATTTATCAGCAAATAAGGGTAACTCTGTTAAGTGTTACCTTGACAATGGCGAGCATTGGGTAAAGACAAATCATTCAAACGAATTTTAGTTATACTCAAGTAAGGTAAAAGCGTTGTCAAAATAAAGAAGCCAATGGTGATGTATAAATAATATAATAATATAAAAAAAAAAAAAATTTCATCAGTCTTTCTCACCGCTACTATAGGAGGATATTGCATTAAGTTAAGAATACTTTGAACTGAATTTTCTTTCTGGACAAAATGGAAACACTAAAAGATAATCTCAAAAGAATACCGTTAAAGTGGTCTCAAGAGTTAAAGCAAACCTTTGTTGTATTCAACAGAGACTCAGGCTTTGAAAACAAGGTACTTTCGGTAACAAGAAACGACATTTTGACAAATTATGATGATGTAAAAGGAGATTTAGCTAAACTTGATGTTGATAAATTTAGCATTAAAACTGCATCTAGTTGGCTTTATTTTAAAAAAGATTCAAATGGTGTTTGGAGTTTGAAGGAGCAATAGTGACATATTTTCTGTCGAAATAAATTTCTCTAGAAAATTCGTAAAGTCCATCGGACTTCCGAACATGAGCCTAGAGATGCTGTAATCATTTTCCTTTATTTCGCGAAATTTCCAGAATAATAATAATAAATTCTTGCAAAGAAGTATAAATAAAGGGAGATATGGATATAATACACCTCAATCATTTTTCTTTCGCCTGGTCATTACAAAGAAGCAAAAATCACATTTATGTCACAAGAAAATATTGATATTCAAGCCATGGCTGCTCAACTGGCCCAACAGGGTCAGCTTATACAACAACTTCTTTCCCAACGCTCGGATCATACTGAGCCTATCGAGCAAGATGAAGGTATGGTGCTACCCCAGCCTATTCTCCACGAATTACCAGTTCGCCCTAGCTATGATTGGCAACCTCCACAGGAATTGTATGACCGTATTGGATCGCTCTCGAGCCCCATATTCAAACAGACACTCTCTGACGAGGAGCGCAAATCAATCGTCGAACGCTATCCACCCATTCAGGGATTAAAGTACGCCCCTCCCTCGGCAATTCCTGAGGCACAACGACGTTTCAACAAAGGACAAGCACGCGAAGACTCGACGCTTCGCAATTTACAATATACTGCCCTCCGCCATTCTGCGTCCTTTAGACACCTTAAGTCATGAACTGCTACAGGTATCTTCCAATGAAGACGCTCCACGCATCTTTGTTATGCTCAACGATGTGCGTACCCTGGTACTAAATCTCTGCGGATCCATTAACAACGCGCGCAACAATCTCGCTTTACGTACAATCAATCCGACGTACAACATATCGGAGGACTCCGCCGAATACACTATGGACCCATCTAAATTCCAGGAAACCCTGGCTCATAACGCCTCCATTCAGAAAACTTGAAAGATGCTTCCACACGTCGTTCAAAGCAGGTTTTTTCCCGGGACTCCACCCAAGGGAGTGGAGGGAGTCCTCTCTCAGCCTACAACATATCAACTCCCAACCAGACACGCCGCTGGAACAACACCAGCAACAGTAGGCTCTTTCGCTTACTTTATCGTTACACAAAGGACCGAAAACAAAACCGAACATGAATCGAAATGCTGATGGGACAGCGACTCAGTCGTGGTCCGACATTGTCAGAAGGGGTAGGGAGATGACAATCCCATCGATTTTGACTCGCCAACGTGAAGAAAAACCGAATGTCAAAACTATCACCAAGATAGTTTACGAAGCAGAAGGCTTCGAAAACGAACGCCGAGCCCACCAAGCGGCTGCCATTATCAAGAGAGCCTTGCACCCGAATACGGTGCTGTTTGAAATCGAGGCCGCAAACCTCAGCAAAGATGATGTCTACGACTTGATCACAAAAGAGATTGGCGAAGCTACAGGCTTCCGCCCAATTAGTGAATACAGAGGTAACGGAAGAGGAAATTGGCTGATCGAAGCCAAATTTAAGAACAGCGCGGATGC